CACGCGTTTCTTCTCTTTATGTTTCATCTTACTGTGACGTTAGTAAATAACAAGAAAAGGAAAAATATGGAAAAAATTTTTTATATATTAATTACAATTTTTTTTTTCTGTACTCCGGCATAACTCCAGTTTTTCATAGATTTTCATTTAAAATTACAGATTCAGTTATAACGGTGTTATGCCCGAACATTCAGACTGAAATGTATAATGTACTGGCAAAATAAAGTTATGATTAAATTTTCGAAAAGATAAAGGAAAAACGGTAATATAAGAATTAATACGAAACCGTTTTTCGAGGGTCAAATGAAAGAAAAATAGGAATGTAAGAAGTTAGAGAAGGATTTTGGAGGTTTCCTAAAATATAGAACCATGGCTTAGGTCTTACAGGTCTAGAAGGTATCAAGGCATGTAAGATCCATTAGGAGTTTGAAATTACTTTAAGGTGTCGTTAGAATTGAGAAGTTTCTTAACCTTAGTAATTAGAAACAGATTACGGAAATGGAAAAGAAACAAAGGAACTTATTTTAAATATGTAAATCTCTTGCATTGAAACCGAACACTGAGTAGTACGTTTAGCTTATTGACTCATTTTAATAAGCAAAAATGAAAAGAAAAAAAAAAGGCCGACTAAATTTTTTTAATTTGTAGTTTCGTGAATTCACTACATTAAAATGCCCGTATTCTGTATTAAAAAGTATAAAGAAGATGTAAATTAAAATAACAAAACTCTAGGCTCTTAATTATCAGATCTTACAATTACCAATTTATTCCACCTTATCCTTTAATTATTTTCCTTTCAACAAACTTTTATTTTTTTTTCTTCGCAGTTAGAAAGGTTTTAAAAACTCCTCTAGAATGATGTAATGGATGTTCCTAATTAGAGCAAATGTTTAGAGGCCCATATTTAAAAATCAATTGACCTAAACTTTGTCAAATTTGGTATAAATACTCTCTAGACTGTCAGTTTTCAAACACTTTGTAGCCTAGTGGCCACTAGCCACTAGTGTAGCCGTTTACGAAAATCTAAAAAAAAAAAAAAAAAAAAAAAAACCTGATGGCTTACTCCATGTCTTACAAGTTACTGATGTTTAGAAGTAGTGCTACAAAGACGAGCAAGAGTAAAAAGATAATACGGAAACTGAAAGAGATGTTTAAATAATTGCGCAACTGCAAATTTAGCATCAAATTATATTCTAGAAACTCTCTTATTCTAAAGAAAAAAAATTCTTTAATATCTCAATTTATTTTTAACTAGCACCAGCGGGCATGAAATTGTCAAAACTTGACCATAGAAATAAAAGTTCTTCTAAAGTTCAATAAATCAAACCTTATCAATTATGTGACGACCTATCAGTGAGGGAAATAAGAAAGTGATCCATAGAATAAACTCACTTAGATATTTTTTAGGTTATTTCATCATATCATTCGCAATTCGCAAGCTGTTCTACAAGGGGTAGAGCCTTGTCACTCAGGTACCCTGGTGTACCAAACACCGTTCCAAGGAGAAGAGAATAAACTCACTTCCTTTAATTTAATATTTTCTTCAATTCAAAAGCATATACACCCACCAGCGGCTGAACGGTAAAATCTCTGAGCACTGGTATTTCCGACTTCGGTTCGATTCCAGGCGAACAGGCTGGATGCATAGGCGTTTTCGTGATTTTCCCCATATGTAATGGGTATACCCTCTACGAAGGCATCTCTCCCCTTAGACAGATAGCCATAGTGTGCTTTGCCATAATCAACTAAGCCAAGCTAAATTCATACGTGTTCATTACTTGTTATTCAAAATTTTTATTATTCATAACAGAACCTATTTCCGGTTTAATTTTATAAATTATAGTGCAACTTCAATTGAAGTTAGCATAATGTATCAAAATATGCATAGAGATCCATCTGTGTTAACCTATCCAGGCATTTGTTATATGGTAACAGATTAAAAAGTCATGCAGAAACGCTGAAGTTTTCTGTACTAAAAAGTGTTATGTGCTTAAGTTACAATGTAAAGTGCTTAAGTTACACACAGAAATTGCTCCAAAAAGATGCGGAAGCTCATTTACACATTTTTGGTGCTTCTAGTTAACCTGCCTCATCTACTGCTGGAACAAAAGTAGATGACGCTCGGTCTGGAAGCACTGAAATATTTTTGAATTGTAGTTATGATGCATATTTTTATATAAATAACACTACGTACCCATGAAATAATTCACATGAAAGCCTCGTGATTTTCAAAAGACTTTGCACAGCTCTAAAGTTAGAGGATGGTATGGCTTTACTCTCTTATTCTTCAGCTGAAGAAACATACCAAAAAAGACAAATGACTTCTTTTGGGGGTACCTACCAGTACAGTGAAGTATATACCAGTACTCTCAATTGTATTATTTTTCAATTTCAGTGTGACATATGTCAAAGAATAACCGCACTTACGCATGATAGAGCACTCCTCGTAAGTGGACTGAAGGATCAACAAGGACAGAGGATTTCAAGAAAGACCGACACTGACATTTCGTGAGAAAATGGCCAAAGGGTTAGCCTGATCTCATCCTCTTTGATTTTTTTCGGAAGAATTTAAAGCTTGATACATCAAGACCGACATGGATTTATTGGATCATTTAGCAACTCAAATAATAGTCCCAAATAATGCAGCATATAAGGCGAATCCATGAAGAACTGACTTTTTCCTCAACAAAAAAATTATTCAAAATGTGTATTCAGAATATTAAGAAGCTAAATGTTTTGAACCATATGAGCAAGCAGTTACAAAATACACAGTTTTGTGAAATATAATCATTTAATTATTGTGTAGAGACATTACGTATATTTTTGGAAGCCGGAGAGATGAAAAATTAGGAGCAGCCTTCACCTGGAATCGAACCACTGACCTGGAATAGCTGTTCAGGATGCAGAACCACTATACCACAAAGGCACGCTAGGAAGCCGGGAGAAATACCTTATAATTGTATAGTTAATTTTTTATACATCAGTTTATCTTTTCACATAGGAAAGATAAACAAAGGCATAGAAAAGATAAAATAATGCATAAAACTGTATTATATTCGCAGATAGTTGTATTTTACATGTTGTTAATTTCTTTATTTCTACTGATGTCTCTCCAGTTTGCTTCTCCGCCAAATGAGTTACAGACGTAGAAAACCTAACCCAAAGATTCATGGAGCTGACCTTTAAAATTTATTATTGGGAGAAATAAATAAAAGAAAATTCAGACTTTATTTTGAAGGCATGAATATTCTTAATGAAGTCTATAGAAAAGAACATACAATATATAATAAATGGATATGCAGTACACGAACAGACAGTATAGAAACGAACAGGCAATGTAAAGGAACATACCACGTATACATAAAATCATGATGCTTTTTAAAAGAAGAATAGCTTTTAAATGTTCTTGAATTAAAAATCTATAAAATTTCAAGAATAACCGATACTTCGGTACTTCACAAACTTAAGCTTAGACAAAGACAAGAAACCGAAGAATCCCAGCTCTCAGACAGCTCAATTAGAACCCTCCGCCTCCAGTTCTGTTTGAAGGGGTCGAAGATGCATAACCACCCCCCTCTTCTACCTGGGAAAAGAATTTAAATCTACTTGGACAACCATAAACGTCCAAATACGAGATGGAATAATTGGCGTTAACAGCGGGAAGAACTCTGAATTGCCCCAGTGTTTAACCAAAAATTATTTACTTTGCTTTTCTTTACAGCATTGAGAGATGCAGGAAAAGGTATGATACTTTAACAGAAAGCATTCCTGTGGAGTTTTGTGTCCCAATAGTTGTCCCAGTGGGACATCTTGAGCTTGACTTTTGGTTGATGACCTAGAGATAAGAATGGGAGGATTTAGGAAGTAGAGCTGTAATCTGTAAGATGTCCCCTTTGCGTCACAACTATTGCGCTAAAAGGGTATGTTCGTTTATGGGGTCTCTGAATAAGAAGCAATGAACTATAAGCTCTTCTTGCATAACAGAAATATTAATCACAAATATCCTAACGCTGATTTGTGTGAAATACGATAGATTGTAACACGACAGGTTTTATCAAGTATTGATGGGAGCTTAATAAATTGAATTAAATTAAGCAGACATTTCAATAATCGTGATGTAATATCTTTTTAAGAGATTTTCTCCTCATTGTCGTTTCACTGATTGTAAACATTTTAAAATCATGGAGGTAAGTACTCAAAAATAATTTTATGTAGTCATTGCTCTAGCACATTTTCCCTCCAAATAATTATCTGCGTCTTAAGAGTTTGCAAATGCAAATGAAGAAAACACAGAGGTTTAGACGGAGAAAGAAATTAACGAAGACTTATAAGACTTTCTAAGACAAAAGAATGCAAAATATTTTCAAGAAATATGAATTTTTTTTATTATTTTAATTCAGTTTTAAGTTGAAAACTAAACTACATATCGTTCATTTGAAGCCTTTGAAAGGCTCATTTTTGAATGTTATCTATATGTTAATTATACAGGGCCATTTTTTATTACCGCCTTTCCTGATGGTTCGTGCTTTAACGAGCAAGGGTAACTTGAAGTTCATTCTGTGTCAACATCCATTTTTTACATAAAATACTCCTTTACTTTAGTATAACCCGAATTTAAGTATCGCATCACAACCTATGTAATAAGGAAAGGGACACTACATACCCACATATATTTTTTTTTCGCTTTACATTTCGTCGCTCTAAAACTAATACAGACAAATAATACAGACAGCATACATTGTACATTCAAAAGCCAGCCTGAATAATTTATTCACATTACTCTGGATGTGATATGACGTCAACCTTCTCTGAAGCTCATAAATCTGAACTAAATGATAAGATGGAGAGACTCATTTTGGTTCATAATAATTATTAAACAGAATTCTGCAAAGTATGTCAAACATAGAAATGTGATTGCAGGATATATTAGTCTTTAAGCTATTCATATCGCAAACAATAATAAGTAAAAGAAGCACAATTGAAAAAGAACTCGGACTTACTGACAAACTTCTTGCTGAATTGCTTGCTGTAGATGCTGTGTATTGACGATTGCACGAATTTTTCCTGCGCTATTTGATGCCCAGTAGGGAGTGACGATCTCCACTGCCGATTCACAAGCATCAACTCTGAAAAGAATTTTAAAAAGAATTAATATGGGTTACTTTGATCAAAACTATATAATTCACGTTTAGTTTTCTAAATAAAAATACTGACAAAATGGAAGATATAATGTATTAGGTGATTTGGGTCTATTAACCTGTAAATTTATTTTATATGGCTATATTTATTTCTTAGAACTCTATTCTATGACTGCTATTTTTTTCCCTCGAAAGATGGGGTCTAGCCATCTTTAGTCGTTGGCTATAATTAAGAACAGAAGCAGTGTTATGTAGGCACCTAATAGGTAGGTCATCCTTTCCTACTGTGAAGGGACGGACATATCAATATATGAAAAGAAAACATACTTTAGCAATTAAAAATATAAATTTGAATTATTAAATGCAGATTACTTGATACACACTGACTAGGATAATCCAATTCTTAATGGAATTTCTGCAAAATGGGTTCAGTTTCAGAGAGAATTTTCAGTTGAAATTTATTAAAAATTCATCGGTATAGCCACGTAGAGAAAATGCAGTTACACGTAATTTGTGTTGTTTGAGAACTTGCGTACGCAGTAGTGATTTATTTACGACAAGAAGTGGAATGCTAATTTAAAGTAAATATTCTAGTTGAAAAGACTAAGGTTGCTTTTATTAAGCCCTTATCTTTTCCCATATTGGAGTTGAGCATATTTGATTATTAAACCTTGTTAATTCTACGAGGAATATTTTGAGTAACTGCAAATTTGAAATCTTTGCATGGACCGACTCTAAAGTTATATTAGCAGGCTTAACATCACCTCCTCATAAATGGAAAACTTTCATCTCTAACCGAATGTTGGAAATCATAGAGGTTTTGCGAAGATTTCATGGAATTATTTTACTTCGCAATTTAATCCGGCAAAATCTTGGTTTTAGAGAAGTTTTGCTAAAAGAGTTTGTAATAATTCGACTGTGGCAGTAGAGCCCTAGTTGGTTGAAAGAAGCCCTTTCGGCTTGGCCGAGTTCTGATCTACTTAGTATCAGTGAAAATCAAGGTGCATTAACTGAAGAAAAGAATAATACTTGATTTGCGTTTCATACTAGTTTGGATGGAAAACGAGACTTTTACGTACTCTTCTATATAACGTATCTTCTTTATAAAAAAATGTACGAATTCTATGTTACTATAAAAGATTTGTTAGAGATTTCAAAGTACAAAATTGTCTACTAAGTTGCAAGTCTTTGAGTAAAATTCCGTCTATAACTGCTTTAGAATACAAAGAAGCATTAAGGCATTTAATTTCATTGGTACAACAAGTATATTTTAAAGATGACGTGAATTTACTAAACTCCAAGAGTCTTAAAAAGTTCATTGAGGCTTTACTTAGTTCATTGAGGCTTTACTTAAAGATCTCTTAAGAGTGGATTAGCGCATTAACGCATTCAGCATTTTGCGTTAAATTACAGTATTACAGTGCTCAGCATCCATTAATTAATCCCTCTTCTAATAGCTGAGTGAACGTTTGATTAAGCAATATCAAATTACATAATTACATGTAGATGCTGTAGTGTTAAATCATATTTTAAAGAAATTTTAATGGATTATTGGAGCAAAAAGCTTATTTAAAGCATTATAGCAACACGCGTAGCTTGTATTAGATATGTAAAGCGAATATTTTCTACTTTTGTTTTATGTTCCGTATTTTATTGTTAAATTTAATAAATGCTTTGTTTCTTGTTACAAATTCTCCTTTCCTGGATTATTTATTTCTAGGTTCAATCATATGAGCAAGCATATAAACACTTCCGTAGAACAACAAATATAATACAATAACAAGCTGGATGGCGTCCGATTTGCTTGGAGCAAACCTCGGCAAGGGAAACGGAGTTCTGTGTGAAGCACAAAGGAACTGGCACCGGTTATCTAGACTCTTAACCCTAAATGATTTATGTATAAATTCATAAGATTCAAATTTTAATAAATAAGATTGAAAATGAAGCTTCAAATAAAGTTCCAAATAAGATAGAAAAGAATATTTTGGACAGCAGAGATGTAAAAATTTAATATAACAATTTTGAAGTAATTGGTGTAATAGCAAAATTTTTAGAAAGATTGTGGCTGGCAAACATTAAGTCTAAATTAGAAGAAAATTTTCGCCTTAAACATAATTAATCCACTCAATAGTGTAGCCATTTGTGTGTGACCTTTCTGTTTTATCGTCTCCAATGAACTTCCTAGCAGCGACTGGTTTCTTGAGGGACTAACTTAAAGCTTACTAAAGCGATATAAACGCATTCCCAGTACTGTCATGGTATCTGTTGCATATATACTGATTTCCCACTTTAAATAACCAAAAAATCTTTTACTGCACAGCTTATATTCTTGTACAAATTTGCAAAGAAGCGGCCTATATTATCTGTTATTTTCTGATGACTTGCAGACTTGACTTTGTGCAAACTCTCATACTTTTTTGCAGACTGACAATGTGCAATTAAGATCTCTATCTGAAAAGCAGTCACATTTCACTGGCATAACCATATACTACGTCATTTTGAATTTTTCACGATTAAAAAGTTGTCTGTTGAATCTTTTTTTTAAGCATGTAAACTTTTTATAGATTGTTAAAAAATTCCGTAAATAGCATATACTGATGATGATACAATTTATCAATAAGAGTGTATTGGAGTTCAAGTAACAATTATTCGTTTTTACTATTAGTTAGCATTATTACTGCCCTACTTAAACTAAGAGATAAAATCCTATAATACAATAATTATAAAAGATATTTATCCCTGCAAATTCAAACTGAATTTAACATTGCAAAATATATCGCACCAACCTTCATATTTTTTATTGTCATATGCAGTTATGGAAAAGTAGCATCGAGAAGTTTTCTTCAACATTTATAGTATTAATTCAAATTGCAAATTAATTGAATCAGACAAAAAGCAAAACAAGCTCATAATTACATTGAGTTCTTTAAATTAGACCAGGACCGGCGCCAGATCTGGTGCAACCAGTGCAGTCGCATTCGGCAGCAGAATTCAGGGGAATTTAGAAAGAAATAGAGCGATACAGTATAGAAGTTACAGAGTTTGCACAAAACGGCGAAAAGCCTACGCCGACCCTGAATAAGACTTTGCAATCGGCCATGTTGTAATCAGTAATAGTTAATCAAGGGGTAAATATAAAACTTTAAGCTCTAAACTAGAGGTAGCTAAGCAGGTCTATGGTTTCAGTGAACTAAAAATTACAGGAAAGAAAATAGAACAGATCGACTTACTTATTGGGAGAGGTTCCGAACGCCGTTCTCGCCCTCTTGTTTCTGCTGTGAACAGGATGCCCGTCATAAGTTTCAAACTGGTCAAACCTAAATGCGGGTGTACTGTTGTCGTCGTCGGTCCCGAAAGAGTATTCACCGACCATTCTTTTGACCAGAGCTTTGTTTTCATCAATAAACTTCTCAATACGATCTCTACAAAAAAAGAAAGGGAGATTTAATTTCGGCACATATTGTGGTGGCTGACTTCAGTGAAAGCTATACAGTTGATCTTCATATTGTCACTAATAATAAAAACAATATGCAAAAGAAAACTGTTACACATGTAATACGCAATTTGCAGGATTGTTCAATTGTTCAGTGAAAAATTTTTTCAGTTAAAGGTTTCATTTAACCTTCAAAAGTACGATCCTACAAATTTGCGCAAATGAACTCTGATTCTTTTTCTACAGATGTTTATTTCATATTAGCACTGTCTTAAAAAGAGTATTCAGGCAATAAAGAACAGTGATAACATTACTATAGAGTATTCAGGCAATAAAGAATAGTGTTAAGCATACTATAGTAATAAAATTCAGTGCAAGGTGCGTAAATTTGCAAGATTGTAATTTCAGTCTTGCAAATTTACGCAATTCCCAGGACTGTTTCAACTGCAAAAGGAAAAAATTCACGCATTTTACGCAAATTGCACCTCCATATTTAACGCAATTTGCAGGAGTGAAAGATTTATGTGCCTGAAAGTTTCATTTAATTTTCGAAACCACTGTCCTGGATCTTAAAATGTGATTCTTATTCTTATAATATGTTTAATATGATATTATCACTATTTTAAAAAGAGTATTCAGGCAATTCAGTTCAATAGCAATGTCGTAAAATAATCTTTAGAATTTCCGACTCACAGTTCCGCGCGATGGAGATAAAATGTTTTTTTTTTTTTTTTTTTCCCCGTAGAGTATTGCCATTGCTCTCTTTGAAATCCTTGAGTTTGTTAATCAAAAATTCGTTAAAGTTTTACAAAATATGAAATCGATCATAAAACAAATTCCAAATTTCAAATTTGGCCTTCCACATGCCCATATTCTTAGGAGGATTACGTCATTCAAAATTCGATGGCTCTATGTGCCGTTGTTTTATCACAATACGAGAAATATACATACATTTATGCAGATTTTTCATTATTTAATTTCTTCAAATATAATGCAGGACTCTAACATTTGGTGGCAACAGTTTGAAAAGTGAAACGGACATTTATAATAATTCAAGGTAAAAATCACAAAACGAAAACAATAATCCTTCAGGGAAAAAGCCCCTTTGGACTAAAAAAAAATTCACAAAAAAGTCTCATTTATGGAAAATTTTTGAAAATATCTTAAAGTTCGCAAAAGCGATCGAAGATATTCGCCCTACGATGAAGATACTGCCCTAGTATTGACATGTACTTTAATTTAGCTTATTTACTGTTTACAAGCAAAATTTAGAGAAAATCTTTCAATCTGTATTTGCGTAATTGGGTGACATTCATAAAGACAACATTTTATCCTTACAGATTAATCGAAGACATCCCCATAAAGATCTTTGGCGTCTATTACACAAAGGATAAAACTTAAACGATTTTATATTACATAACGTTAAAAAATAGCTTTCATTAATTGCAATAATGTAGCAAACGTTCGTAATTATCAATTTGATAGATTATATATTAAAGACATTTTGAGTTATATGAATTAGATATGTTATTAAAAATAAAATAAAGATTAAAGTTATTAAGAACAGAACTTTGTTTTTAAATCTCTCAATTTATGCAACAAATAGAACTATAAGTTGAAAGGTAAATGATTAAAAGATCTTATTCCACATCAAAAATCAGCACTCTGAATGGGACCATGAGGAAGATATATGAAAGGTTTTGTCTTAATGGCAGTACCTGATAGATCATGTAAATGATAAATAGCATGATAAATAACGTAACGTAAGAACCAAAATATTTGGAAAGACTTCGTTAAATCATTTCTAACATAAAAAATGAATGAAATTATCTTTAAAATAATTTTGAATTAAACAACATAACTTTCAATGCGTGCGTTCGCAATGCAGGAAAGTTGGGAGCGTGGTTCAAATTCAGGCGAGAGTATAAGTGGTTTCTAACGTTTCCTGCCTTCCAAAAAACTAAACTCTCTACAGTTTCTTTAAAATTTGCACTTAAAGCTAAATCTACTTACATTAACAATACATGAAATAATTAAATATTTGTTTTCACTCTACTTTGAAGTAAATTAATTTATACTAAAAGCGGGTTGAGCCATATTTTATCACAGTTGAATTAAATTCTTGTCAACAGCTTGACAATGGCTAACATATACCAACTAATTCTATTTTCTTAAAATTTTGAGTATTTTTTCGTAAACGGAAATAAATATTGATAAGTGAGAGGGGCATTGTTATATTATATCTTATAAAGTTGCATTCGATATTTATTATATGTTATTACTTAAAATTACATCAAATTATACTATATATGTTACTTAAAAATTACACCACAGTATAAAAATGACTTATTGAGAGTTAGGCAGTTTCTCACATGTTAAAAAAAAAGTCACACAAACATTTATTTTATACATCATTCATAATTAAATTTCATTTTAATGTTATTATGCTCGTATATTTTGACGGTAAAATAATATGCTTTTATTGTTCCTAAATATTCCATAAAATATTGAAACTGACTTTATTTACGCCAGTCATGTTATTTTTAGTTTAATGAAGATAAATAGAATTTATATCAACACATTTTATTTCTAAAAATTTTGTTCTATTCCTTAGGCCTTATTTCTCTCCATATAAGTCTTTTAAATATGTTTCGATAATCTACATTAAAAACGTAACGACATATAATATATTATTTGGGTACAATTTTAATTATAAACAATTTAGAATTTAAAATTTATTAGATATTTTATGCTATTACCTCTTGCTCCTCTTCTCCCTGCCACTCCGGCCTTCTTCCCCTTCCGTGGAACTGAGGGAAAAAAGAAAATAAATTGCTTAAGACGCTTGTCTTAAAATTTTTATCACCGGAAGGCAAGGGAGAAAAGAACCAACATTGAATAACATTTTGAAATTAAGTTAAATACACAGGTTTATTCAAAATAACAGATCCCTTTCAAACTGCTTATATATATTTAAGAAGCTTGTCTTAAAGTTTTTAACACCAAAATGCAAGGGGGAAAAAAAGAACTTTCAGCGAATAACATTTTTAGAGCTAAGCTTAATATATAGGTTTGTTTAAAATGACTGGCCTCTTACAAATTACCTTATTTAGGGGTGGGGGGAAGTACTGTGAATTATCTTAAATGTTTCATCACTGTAAGGGGAAGAAGAAAAAGAATGAATACTGGACCACATTTTAAAATTAAGTAAATACACAATCTGGCTAAACGTTTTAGGACTGAGCTCATAAAAAAATGAATTAGGTATTTTTTTTTGTTGTTTACTTATTATTCTTCATATAACTCTTGTGAAGTTACACATCGTTTGGTGCCATTCGCAAGCCGTTCCATAGCATACTGGAAGTTCTCTACTGGGATGCCTCTTAGCTATTTCGTAACGCCTTTTTGCATCGTTTTGATATCGCCGAATCGATGACCTTTCAGCTTTAATTTTAGTTTTAGAAATAAAAAGCAACCTGGTGGTGACAAATGCGGCGAATAGGGATGGTGATGTAGCACAATTACATATTTTTCTGCTAGAAACGAACGAAGAACAGCTGCATTATGGGATGGCGAGTTTGCAGCAAGAACCAATTTTTGTTTGCATGAAAATCCAGGCGCACACATGCGATGCGTTTCAATAGCCGAATCAATACACTCGTATAAAACACCGCATTCACTGTTTTTTCTTTAGGAACGAATTCACTGTGAATCAATCTTCCACAGTTAAAAAAAAAAAAAAAAACCTCTTACATTGTTTTTATTATGGATTTTTGAAAAACATTGTTTTTGGCTTTGGAAAGCCAAATTTAAACATTGCAGACTTTAAAATTATCATTTAATACTACATTTTAATACAATAGGTCATTCGCACTTTATGGAGATGATTTTGACAATCAAATTTCATGCATAAAGTATGCATGTCTTGCCAGGATTTACTTTTATCTGATAGTTTTGATTTTTGACTAGCTTGAATTTTCCGTGAGAGCAATTCCCCTCCGTAATTTCAATTTATAATACTTCTCTTGGGTCATTTTCAAAGGTCCTTTCAGTGTTCTTGAACGCCATTTTCTAAGGCTCGTTTTAATAAACCAAAAGAGGAAAAATTCATATGCGAAGCGCCAGGTGATTTTAAAAGTATTTCGTTAAATTCAATGCATTTTATTCCTGTTACTCTCTTTGCTAAATAAAAAGGAGTTAACTTAGACATGTGACTAGAGGCTTTGTCCATGTGAAATTCAAATTTAGAGATATCCTTTCTGTTTAAGGCCGGAATTTCGTCTTCAAAAATTGGTTCTAAAATAGTTTCATCAAAATATCAAAATAGCATCAGAGTCTATTATTCTGCTGATAATACAGTGAATTAATTTTAACCTTACTTGAGATTTTTAGTTTCAGTTCTCTTTTCCAACAAAATTTTGCAAATATCATGAATGCTGTTGAGAAATTTTTTGTACATTGATGAAGCCATTTTGTGAGTTGAGCAATAGAAAATTCATCTTTTTCAAATTATATTCACTTAAATATACCCATGCCGCATCAGGTGTTATCACAAATTTTCTCTTCATCAACAGCTAGATATTTTCCACATAATTTTCTGCAATTACGTTTTCTTTTCACGATATACTTCGGTAAAAATAGGTGAACTTTAGTTGTTTTTTTAAAATTAAAACACAAAGAATTCCCCATGTACCACAAAATATCATAGCATGAAAATTGGCTTACAAAACTACGTATGAAATACAATACAAACAGTAAAGGAAGAATTTAATACAAAATTATGAAGGATTACAAAAATTAACAATGAATTTGCAAAGACATTAGGTTAATTGGAAGGAGATATGAAAAATGAACAATGCTTTCACCGGGAGTCAAACCGCGGACCTCTGGAATACGCGCCCAGCGTGCAGACCACCACACCACGAAGGCATGCTAAGAAGGCGGGAGAATACCTTATATACTCCACCTTTTAAAGGGCGACTGGGGTTTTCAGGGTACCCAATCGCCAAATCCTGGAGATTCATCATCCACCACCCTTTTAGTTCGAGCACCACTGTAGAGACTAGGATTGTAGACGCCCCTGTAGGTTAATTGGAAGCAGGAGATATGAAAAATGAGCATTACCTTCGCCAGGAATCGAACTACGGAGCTCTTGAACACGCGCCCAGCGTGCAGACCACCACACCACGAAGGCATGTTAAGGAGGGAGAAATACCTTATAAATTGACAAAAATATTCAAAGACACACTTCTTTCGGAAATAAACTGAAAAAATCTAGAGGTCACTTAATATTAATTGTTTCCGGTGTCAGTTTCAAGATCATTTTCAAGATCATATTTGGAACACAGAAGAAGCACATGTTCAACATTTTCCTCGCCGCCGACGCTGCAATCACATAACATTTCTGGACATAACTTAAATGCTCAGTTAACTTTTGAAGTTTTTAAACGTCGATTTTAACTTCAAAACTATATGAATGATTTTACTTACGGTGCCAGAAGACATTACTACTTCCAGTGCATATCCTTGAATCGGGTGATTTTGTTTCAGGATCAGAGACTTCATTTTCTTGATATTTAACCACATTCGAACAGTCAGTTTTAGAATGCAATTTGCGGTAATTTTTTTAATATTTTTTCAGCTACGCTTTTTTTTTTTAATATTTAATATATCGAATATACTTTTCTTTAAAATGCAGTAACCTTGATTTTACACCGGTTACAATTTATTAATATGAATATTTATCATCGTGAATAGCATATACGTAAACAACAGACTATCTGTCAATTTTAGAAGCCATTCCCAATATAAATCTCTGCATAATTTCTGTAATATCAAAATAAATCAAAATTATTCTGGATTTTGTTACTATTTTATCTCAAAATGCTAACAAAAAAATTTAAATCGAAAATTGTTTCGCAAAGTGCGAACGACCTTCTTTCTGTACTAAAGTTTAGATTGCAACATGCAGTTTTATAAGCAAGAAACTATGTAATTGTTTTAATACATTTTTTAAAGCATCAGTGACTGCCATTAACGTTTAGAACGGGGACTTACTTTGGATATGTATTTCCTGGTGATGGACAGTAAAGTTGATTTTTCCGCCTTATGCAAGGGTAGCCTCTGAGGATCTCAGCGCAGGTTTCTAGCCACAGAATCAAAGCGAAAACTGTCAGGGTCGCCTGTTCGGAAACAAAATGATAAGTTTTAAAAATTAGCGTTATTATTACAAAAGGAAGTAAGTAATAATTATAGAGTACTACTGATATTTATCTTTCATTTTTAGTTAGGCTTGAGTTCTTGTAATATGTTTTAGCTTTTATTAATCTGATCACCAGTTTTTCCTTAAAAACTAATGTGGTCTTTATAAGATTGGTGTTGTTGTAAACCTTCCGTATAAAATGACTCTGAAATAATTTCGCATGTATTCAGATTAAGGCATACAGATCCTTTGAATAAACAACAGTAATTTTGATGAAAAAAGGTTAATTGATCAAATATTGGTCTATAAACCATTATCAATCATTTCTTGTAAATTTAACTTGAAAGAAGTGATTTTGGATCTTTTACATCATTTGGAACCACAATGAAATGTTCTTCTTGAAGCTACTGATTAAAAATGTACTACATTATATTCCGGCATCACTGATATTTCACATCAATAATTTCGCCATCTTGTGAATCTTGTCTTTAAATTTGCAACGCAATAAAAAAGAAGCGTTTTAAAAGCTATATTTATTACACAGATAATTTTTTATACAAGGTTTAAATCGTTAGAATTATAACTCGGAGCATGTTGAAACCAATATCTTGTATAACCACTAATGGCAAAAAGTAACAAAAGCCTCATTATGCGATCACGCCCACCGATGGCCCAGTAAGAAAAAAAAGCCGTTGATTTTGCCCGACATAAGATTAAATGCCGGTCAATGGTGCTTCGTTATTATTATCATATGTAAAGTGAATAAGAGGGGTGTATACGAGCCAGTTTTCCTTAGAAAGTCCTCCACGAAGGCTTCTCTCCCCTTAAGCAGATAGCCGTTGAGGCTTTGCCGTAATTAAATAACCTAAAGGGAATATGAGGCAGTTTTCTTTGTAAAGGTCTCACCATGACAGAGAGCTCTAGTGTGCTTTGCCGTAATCAAACAATCTCATCCACTGCGAAATCAAAAATCAGATGTGTTCAGTAGGCAGCAGATCCAGCCAAGTAAAAAAATGGAATATAAAGGTTATTAAAAAAATTTGACGTTGGATGCCAGATGCAGCCGCGTAAAGAAATCTGAAGAAAGATAAAACGACAGACCTCCAACATGCCAGAGACAACTGATGTATTCGATATGACACCGGCAATGTATGAAACGTCAGCGTTTTATAGAATGCCTGGCGTTTTTAGGCAAAGTATGAAATATGAGAATTATTATATACTTTACCTAGGCATTGTATATAATACTTAGGCATTCTATAGGATGACAAATCCGCTTTAGGCAAAGTATGAAGAAAAGTTCATGATAAGCTATTATTTAAAAGATATTCATTCCTGAAAAATACAAATGTTATTTTGAAAGAATAATGAAAGACTACCATTAAAAACTTTTATTCTAAATAAGTTAAAAAAATTAGTGGGATGATTTTGGTACACCATAATAAATGTATATATTCTCTAACTGGAAATCAATAAGATCTACCTGACAACGGGAATTAGATTCAGAAAAACCATAGTTTTCAATATGATGCCCTTTTTGATACCTTTCTGTTTTTCTGGCAGGGCCCACAAGGATGAATTGTACAGTTCAATACCATTTTGTGTAACATTTTTGTATTTGGTTTCTTGCAACATTCTGTCACGTCTTTCGTGTCTAACAATCAAATGAATTTCATGAAGTACGTGAAATAACTGACGCCTTCTTTAACAGGATAAATGAGTTTAATTTTGTTTTTCGCAAACAACACATCATAGCGATTCAGCAACCAACAGTCTCGCGTTTCCATCTTAGAAGTGATTTAGGCTCTTTTACATCATTTGTTAACTTCTGGTAAGTAGTTTCGGTTATTCGAAAAGAATCACAGATGTACTTCACACATTGCCGGTTTATCATTTGGCATTCTATAAAATGCCTAGGCAATGTGTGAAATGTTTAATCGTTTCATACATTGGGCCGGCCAGTTTCCGACATTCTATAAAATGCCTAGGAATTCTATAGAATGCCGGATTATATACTTTGCGGTAACAGATATACAAAAAATGCGTATTAAGTGCGTGCAGAACTGAAATCTAGTACCACTTCGTGACACAGAACTATGTTCCGCATCGGCATGATGACGCAGAATTCACTCAGTCTGCCCAGCGATGCCGCTATATGGACCATCAATGTTGTTGTAGACAGAAACAAGGCTAGTCTAAAAAATAATATCATAGCATTTATCACTGCATTCAAGATATTGAAAACATCACTGCAGTCTAAGAACATGTGTGATGTACAGTTAACCATAGGCAAAGGAATGGGTGTTTTCCAAAAATTCTTGGATACAGTTGACGAAGTCGAACTGCATTTGCGGATATAGATTATTATGCAGTACTCTCTATTCCTGAATTGTGCTGTTTAATGCAGATGTACGAACCATAATGTTCATCACATAACATGCCTGTCGTTTCGTTCAGTGGTATAATATGACCAATGAGACCTTCCCATCTAGCTTATTCCTCCTTGAATCACGTATTCCACATTAAGATCACTAAGGGAGCATAAGTAGCTACATAAATCTTTCAGCATAAGTACCAACATCGTGAAAGGATAATTTGTATCTCGATATTCCACAATTTTCTCACATTCAAAGCACAAGAAGACATCGGTATGGGTGGTACATTCTTTCGCTGAGGCATCATCAAGGCTTCGTTATATGCTTACTTCTTGTATTAAACTTTCTTCATTTAATACAGAGAGCTTGAATTTTGTCATGATAAAATAATAATACCTTTTAAATAAATAAAAATTAAATAAATAAAACTTGCTGTTTTAGAGTAAAGCTATCTGCCTTCCACCAAAAAACTTAATCGAAGCTATTAAGTTAAAACTGAATACACAATAGACCATGAGTTAGATTCCAAGTTGAACCTAAACACTACATGCTGTTATAATCGAGTTCAATCATACATCCCATTTTCTTACTTTCCACTTTCATCGTGAGTTAAAAGGACAGATAATTCAAAATGTAGAGTATAAAGTATTTTAAGGGCGCGTTTAAACTGTACAGAGGAAAATATTTCATCCTAATTTCTCAGAATTTAATAATTTTACTTATCGCATTTAAAATATTAATTTATAAAAAAAATGTTTATTGGTTTTCTAGGTGCGTATGCATCAACATAGTTTTATTACGTAAGAATTAAATTACCCATTTTTAGCGGCGAAAATAATCATAAAGAAATTTGAAGCGAAAATAAGCACAAAGAAATTTGAACATTGCCCTCATCAGATCATCTTTCGTTAGTTTTCAGTTGGATGAATTAAGATTAAGGTCAGCACAGTTTGACAAGTGATTGTTGCATAAAAGTATGTATTATGTTGTTAGCAGCCTCAAATTCGGCCACGTCTTCACCCAGAATCATACCTGATGCTCGCAAGTCACTAGAAGAGCATTCATTTCCCTGCTGCTAGCGCCATTATCCCCACTTAACTCTGCGGGCACCTGAATGCCTTTTTCCAAAATAACGTAAACAGTCTCTCAGCGTTCATGCAGGTGGAGTAACAAAATAAATTCCTTCGCTAACGACGACAAAAGAACAAGTGAGTAACATTTTTTGCGACGACGAGTGTGTAACACTTTTCCTTTCTCACGCCTGCGCGGGCTCCTACCCTTGACCCTAGATGACGGTAACTGACCGTCCACCGACCTCCATCGTGAGTTAAAAGGACTCCATTTCTAAAGCACTTGGAATGAAGGGCACGTGCCTAACCTTAAAAACCCACACCTGCTAATGCCTACGGTTGTCGGGGCTTAAGTAGAAGGGTAAGACCCTTCTCGTAGTTAGGATGGCTCCCTCCGCCGCTGCTTTTGTCTTCAACGGGAGCTCATCTTTCAGGTTTCTGTGGGAGATGTTTGTCAAGTGTTTTCTTTATTGTCTGTTGGTGGCATTACCTTGTTTTAAAGGCTTTACCACTATTTGATTACAGTATGTTTGTGGAAACGTTACGGCTTTATCACATATGCTGCCGGGCAATAATCGATGATCACAAACTAAATTGCTGCAAGTATGGCATCGAAAGTTCCAAGTGATTTTCAAATTAACATTCTTTTTACTTGTAATTGACAAGATTTTAAATCATGCAAAATTATGACATGGTTCTGTTATAGCTCTTCATTGCACTGTTCTTCACTGCACTACGCTTCTAAACAAACAGTTCGTTTCTTTACAAAACGTAAGTTTACGACAATCCTACACAGAGTGAGCCGATCTCACTCTACATATAATAACACTACACTTTATCTCTACATATAATAAAAGAAAGAGTCTGTCTGTGTGTGTCTCTTTCGTTCGCGCTGCGCGCAAGCTAATAGACCCACGGCTACGAAATTTGCTACATAGGTGCATCTAGACAAGAGCCAGTGCACCTCAAAGCGATTTTTTTCGAAATTGGAAATAAAATTTTTTTAATTTTATGTTTTGTGACCAAATCGCGTCATTTTGAGACATAATGGGCTATAGGAAAGCGAGATTTTACTCTATACACTCCATTTTCACATCGTCATGAAACGTAGGCACTTAGCTATTTTAAGAACTTAAAGTAAATTTCGTGTTTCAATAAATCGATTAAATAGGAATTTATTTAACAAAAGGTACTTAACACCTTTTCAACGGGATTTTTTCTAAAAAGTTTATTATTAGAAATGTACAGTTTATTTTTCTTTGATTTTTGGACAGGTTAAACTTTCATCCTTTTACAAAAAGAATTTCGGAAAAATGATAATATTTTGTATTAAATTTTTTTTTAAATGATTCCGAGTACACTTCTCAGATCTCACATCTTTAAAAATGTGATTTTGGCAACAATTTTCCTGTTTTATTGTTGTTGATAGATTTTTGATGAAATCGCATCATTTTGAATAGTTTCATTCTTTTAGAAATATGGGAACAATTTTTAGAAACAATTTTTCATCGTATTTCTTATGTCACTGTTTTTAA